TCCACACAAACTATGTCCTAGAGTTCCAAGTCTAAATAGCATATGACATGTCAAGTCTTCAATATGCAATTTTATACAAAACAAGAATATCTTACAACAATTGAATCAAATTACCATCCTAAGCCACAAGTATTAAATAAGTTACAATTTAGTAATAAGCTTTCAAGGTAATTAATTGTAATATTCTAAACAAGTTATATACCTATACAAGATATATTTAAACAAGCTTTGCAAGACAAAGATATCCTATATCATGCTAAGTCCAATTACCATTTTAAGATGCCACAAGTACTAATTCTATATCTAATTAGTAATATGTCACAAGGTAATTAAACATACTAAGTTTTAAGAGGTTACCAACCTAATACGAAAAATCTCTAGATTTCAAATCAATCTCAAATAGACTCAAATTAATATATGTTAAACAATATAGCATGGTCATTACATATATCAAATCAAAAGTGCAAAATGAGCAAGACATCATCATGTATAATTTAATTAATTTAAATTAATTAAATCTTTAGATTTCAAAAGTTATTCAAATGATCCCGAATTAAAATATATCAAGGATTAAGCCATGGCCATGCCATATATCAAGTCTAAAATGGAATACAAACAAAGTACAATTAAGTAGAATTTAATTTGAATTAAATTAATTAAATCTCTAGATTTGAAAACTCATTTAAATGATTCCAAATAATTATATAACAAAGATTAAGTCAAGGCCATGCCATATACCAACTCTAAAGTGAGTTATATACAAGCTATGATTAATCATTAAATTCTCAAATTAATAAAAGATATGCATACAATTTATACATCACTACAAAATCAATTAATTCACTAGATAATAAACCAGAACACCCCCTACCTCACTAGAGAAGTGTCTCTCTAGAATCCGAGGCATATCAACACAAAATGGTAAACCCTTCAAGGGTTATATAGAGGAAAGTGAGGCAAATCTTTTTGTATTCCAAGCTTTATGGTCAAAAGTGAGTGGAAGGGGACCAAAATGAAGCTTAAAGCTCTAAGCCAAGCTTTGCTTCATCAGTGGCTAGGTTAGGGTTTGAGAGGAAAGATTTGAAATGAAAATGATGTGATAAGGTGTAAGTGGAGGAGTCAGAAATCCTCCACTCATTATGTGATCCTACACCATGGTCAATACACATTACTCTTGGTCAATTGCACAAAAACCCTTCTTTAACAACATAATCCCAAAGTAGCCTAAAAATAATTGCAATTAAGTCCTTCCTCTAAATATCTTACAAACTTAATTGCAAAGTGGTCCTCAAGACAAAAATAGTTACTTATAGTAATTACATAAATAATCCCAAAAGAAAGAAAATTTCTAAAAAAGTGTGTATCCATACCCCTAAGGAAGAAAGTACATTACAAGCATGCATTTCTAAGAAAGTAAAAATACAAATTTCTAAGAAATCATATACCATGAGTGCATGCAAAAGTGGACACAAATTCGAACACGAAAAGTGAGGTTGTGCCAACAAAGTGACAAACGGGAAAAAGACGAAAAGTGAATAGTGTCGAAAAATGAAAATATGAAAATGACTCGGTCCTTAAAGGAAGTTGTCAATTTAAGGGAAAGGGTCTCGAAACAATTCCCGAGTACTCGAGACGACACCAAGAGACGAGAAATGGAACACAAAAAAGAAAAAACAGCGAAAAAAAATTTATCTGTAAAATTTGAGGAAAAATGAAATGAAGGAAAATAACCGCGTCATTACAGAATAAAAGTCCTCCCATAAAAAATATCCCAAAAGATAATTGCACTTTTGTCCTAAAATAAAAATATCTTCAAAAGATAATCGCACTAAAATCCCAAAATAAAAATATCTACAAAATATAATCGCACTAAAATCCCTTAATGTAAACATCTCTAAAAGATATTCGCATAAAAACCCCCAAAAATGGGAATGCCAACCAAATGAAATCCCACAAATACCCTAAGCAACAAAAAGGCAAGTATAAACAAGTATAACACAAATTTGATTTGACATGAGAGTCAAACACACAAGTATGAAATAAAACAAGTGTCGGGAACTACTCCCGAGCACTTGACTCAATTCGTTCTGAGCAGACCTGATCCCAAAAAAAAAAATTAAACGGAAAAAAGAAAATACCAAAAAATGAAAAAGTGGCAGGTCCGATCTTGAGCTGTTAATAATGTTTAGCCTAAATCAAATATTAAATTTAGCTTTTATAACTTTACCAGTCAAGTGTAAAATCCTAATTTTAAAAATTTTATGGTAGCAAAAATAATTTAATATGGAAACAAAAAAACAGAGTATAGTTTAATTAATAAATTTTTGTAAATGTGGATTAAGGTATGGAAAGGTTTATTTATAACTTACTTCAATGTGATTAAAGCTTATGCTAATAGTTGTTTTTGGGTAATTAAAACAAAAAAAATACTTATGTTAACATTATCCCGAATTTTTGTTTTAACCAAAATAGAGCGAGTGTTTTGTTGTAGAGTATTTTGAATAGTAATGTGAGACATGTTTGGTAACGTCCATTTGTTGCAAGATTTTTGAAAGTAAAAATAAAAAAAATATACTTGGTAAAAAATTATTACAAGTTTGAAAAATATAATGGTGGGTCCGTATGGCATGCGTTTTGTTTTAGGCGTTTTGTTTTTGGCTAAAACAAAAACAATGTTTTTGCTGTGGGAGTATTTTGGAAAAAAATCGGAATCATATTTGGAAACGATGCTTTGTTGTGGAAATATCGGGCCCATGTTGTACTATTGTTATGGTTTTGGTCCATGAACAGTTGTCAAAATAAGAAAAAATAACTTTTTAGTGTTTTGATTTTGGGCCACTATTCACGAAGTGTTTTAGTACTGTGTAAAATAAATTAAGGTCGCACCAAACATACTTTTGTTGCCAAAATCGACACTATAGCTGCTTAAAAAAAAAAAAACAAAAAAAAAAGCAAAACGTATGCCAAACATGTTAGTTTTAAAATGTTATTTAAGAGTTTTTAATTTTTTTTTTGTTTTATTTTTTACTGTTCATCACTACCTTGCCGTTATTAAATTTCTGAAACATATAAAAAAACCAAATTGTGTTTCGATACTATTCACAAAACTTTTTGCTACTATACAATATATATATATATATATATATATATATATATATATATATATATATATATTGGGTAAAGTATAGCAACACCCCCTGAAGTTTGCTAAAAAGACAGCCAGATGAAATTTACTCTATTTTGGGACAATAACACCCCCTGATGATATTTGCAAGCTAAACAGAGGCTTAAAACATGTGAAAAGTCAACATTACCATTCACTATTTTATTAATTTTAATTATAAAATATTAAAATAACTAAAAAACCAAATTACCCTCAACCCCCCAATCAATCCTACAACCATTCTGTTGCCACCGCCACACCAAACTCCACAACCACATATAATCGCCCTCGCAACCACCACCATCCCCACCCCCAAGCCACCGCCTTCGCCTTCGAGCTCTCCAACGGAAGGGAATGATCAAGCTTTTAGTCTTTCACCATGGCAATGTCAACAACTTCAAAAACACAATGGCAATGTCAGCAACTTTACTTTATTCTCTCCTCTAGAAAAACCCCAACCGTCACCTTCTCAAAAACCCTAACACCATCACCACCACCCACTTCAATGGCTTCCCCCTCAACCAATCTTCGCACCTCAACAAACCCATATCGATCACTTGTTCGACAACCCAAGTCCAAGACCGCCCAACCTCCACCTCCCAATCCCAAGATTGGGACTTCAATTTTGCCATCGGTTTGGCCAATCTGCCTGAAAATGTGCTCAAGACGGCTGAATCTGAGCTCTACAATTGGTATGGAGCCGGAATGAGCGTGATGGAAATGAGCCACAAAGAGAAAGAGTTCCTCTTAATCATCCAGAAAGCAGAGTCAGATCTATTTTGTTCTTGCAAGGCAGCACAACTACCCAATTCTCTGCGATCCCTCTCAATCTGTTGAAACCTTATTCTCTTCTTCTAGGTTGTGGGAATTATTCATGCTTGGGGTCCGTCGGTCTGAACTGTGCTTCACCGAATTTGGGGCTCGCTGGACAGAACTGGGTTTTGTAGTTTAAAGCTTTGTCGGATTGATAACTCCAATTTTAAACGACGTCGCAGAATAGATCAAGACCGGGCTCTAATTTTGAGCGCCGTCTTGATGTCGTTACCGAAGACAGAGAGAATCAACCGAGCAGCGAGAGCACTCACCGTCGCCCTCGTCAAATAACTATTGCCATCGTCGCCGTTAAGCCCAACGCGTAACTTGTGTACTCCGGCGTTGGGTAAGCTTACCGATGGAATCGAAGGATGAAGGCCGCGGATCCATTCACCATCGCTGCCTGTATATACTTATATATATGTGTGTGTGTATATATATGTATCTGTATATACATATATATGTGTGTGTGTGTGTTGGGGTGGAGGAAGAAAGAACAGAGCGGAGAGAAGGAAAGGAATGGGAATCGGTCTCTGAGGCTAGAAACGTCATTTCATGATTAATATAAAAGTCAAAGGGTAAAAATGTTAATTCATTACCATTGGGGTGTCTTTGGCAATATATCAAACTTGAGGGAATATCTTTGTTCCAAAATAGAGTAAGTTTTATTTGTCTGTCTTTTTAGTAAACTTCATACAAACAGTGTTGTCACGCGTCACTTTTATAATATCCAACAAAAACAAAATCACCAAAAATAACAAGTACCAAACAGGCCTAAACCAAACCACATATTTCGGAATATAACTTGTAACTGGGTACTCAGCCGAGGGAGCGAGGACTGAGGTGTGAGAAACGTGAACTGGTCGCTATTTTTATATTTAACGGTAAAAACCTGATTGTTGTTACTAGTACTTAAATTTTTTTTAGAGAGAGAAACTAAGCAAACAGAGAGAGGGGCCGGGGACGGAGTTGTCATTTTCAATACCTACTGGCTACTGCTACTTTAAATAGATTTTTCGATGGGAGGTTTGGGGATTTTACAAGGAGCAGTAGTGACCGAGGACTCGCCTTGATATATATATATAATACACACTCTGTATCTATCGACCAGAAGTGTGGAACACGAGGTGAGAAATGCTTGTTTTTACTGAATCTTCTACTTCTCAGAATGCGATTCTCTTTATTGTGAGTTGATTTTGGTGATGTGTTAGTGTGGATCTAGTTTTTTTTTTTGGAGTTTTTGTAGACTGTTCGCTTTCGGATCTGCATCGCTTTTCGTTTGAAGGTTTCTGGATATCCTCCTTTAAGCATATTTCGGATCTGATCTTCAACTACATCGATACTCAGATTCTGAGTTCATTTCTCAAATTTTCTGTAACTTGAATGGCTATATAAGATAGTTTCTGTTCTTAGATTTTGTATGAGTTTTGATATTTTCTCTCTCCAAATTTCAACTCGAAACCCATATAAAATAGTTTCTGTTGTTAGATTTTGTATGATTTTCCCGATATTCTCACTCTCCAAATTTCAACACGAAACCAAGCGGTTTTGGTAGAACAGCCTGAATATAACTTAATTTTGTTCTTATTTTTATTTATTTAATTTTCGTTTTTTTGTTCGAATTGATTTAAGACCCCATAAATGAATAGAACATTCGATGAACAAATTATTGTGTCTTCTTCGTTCTGTTTTTGTACTGACATCTGGTGCTTAATAAATAAATATGTATGTCGATTTTAGCATTATTGGGTTGTTTGATTTTCTTTTCTTCCTTTTCCCTGCTTTTTTTATGTTAGTATGCTTTTCAGTTTTGACTTTCTATTTACTAGCATAAAGAGGTTTATGGATATTGTTTCAGTTATGTGCTCAGTTGTATGCTTATATTATTTTGGTCCTGGAAGGTACCAAATCTAACAGTGTGTTTGGAAAAGGAATGTGGTGAATTCCTCAATCATTTTATGACAATTTTGTGACGAATTGAATTGAAACAGTTGGGCTTGTGCTCTGCAATGCTTTAGAATATGTGTACGTTTAAAATATTGCGTCATTTTCATTTGTATGTAATATGTGATTTGGGGGTTGTTGGGTTTGGTAATCTACTCAAAATTTTCTTGTATCTGTTGTTTTTTGTTCTTCAGATAAGCAAATAAATATATTATTGTCATTTTTCTGCTATTTCATCCATGAATATTGAATTAGAACGATTAGGTTTGATTAGCTTTTGACCTTTTAACTTCTTGTTATGGCTTTGGCTGCGAATTTTACTTTTGTTTTGGTAACTGATTTATTTTTTAGTGCTTCTGTTAATAGATTCACTGTTGGCTTGTAATAGGAGTAATTATTGTTAATATTACTGTTCTTATTATTCTTATATGAATTCACATGATCCATGTCTAAGTTTTAGATGAATTTTGACTGCTGCTCGACCATTTGATAAATAATATTTGGTTGTATTGGTATCAGTTGTTATCATGGTGAGGAAGAGGAGAACTGAACTTCCCAGTGGGGGAGAGAGTTCTGGGTCCCAGGAAGCAAGTGGAGGACGTGGTGGTGGTACCCAACGCCTCCCAGGACAACAACCACCACAACAGCAGCAGGGAGTTGGATATCAAGGAGGAGTAGTAGCAGGAGGGAGAGGTTTAGGTCCTCAATCTCAGTATGGAGGTCGTGGTGGCCGTGGTGGTGGAGCTCAACGTGGTGGGATAACTCCCCAGCAGAGTTATGGTGGTCCTCCTGAGTATCATCATCATGGCAGGGGAATTCAGCAGCAGCCACGAGGAGGAGTGCCTCAGCGCCGTGGAAGTGGCAGCCGTGGGGTAGGGCCTCCTGCTGGTGGACCTTCTAGACCACCTGTTCCCGAGCTGTACCAAGCAACCCAGGCTCCGTCTCAGACCGGAGCGGCCACTCAGCCGGTGTCTTATGGGAGATCGCCTGAAATGCATCCCGAGGCCAGTTCTTCATCTAGTCTACCTGAGCCAAGCACTTTGCAAGGGACACAGCAGTTTCAGCAGCTTTCTGTTCAGGAAGAAGGGTCTTCTAGCCAAGCAATTCAACCTGTGCCTCCGTCAAGTAAATCCGTGAGATTCCCTCTTCGACCGGGCAAGGGTAGCACAGGTACCAGGTGTATTGTCAAGGCTAACCACTTTTTTGCAGAATTACCAGACAAGGATTTGCATCAGTATGATGTTAGTAATCTCCTTTTAATCCCTCTTTGTACCTTTCTTATGTGTCAAGGCTGCTGAAATGATCATAAGGTAAACCGCTTTCTTGATGTGATGATAGGTTTCAATTACCCCCGAGGTCACATCACGAGGTGTCAACCGTGCTGTGATGGAACAACTGGTGAAACTTTACAAGGAGTCTCATCTTGGAAAGCGACTTCCTGCCTATGATGGAAGAAAGAGTCTCTATACTGCGGGTCCTCTGCCTTTCATTTCGAAAGAGTTTAAAATCACCCTCATTGACGAGGATGATGGATCAGGCGGTGCCAGGTTTTTGCTTAGAATTTCCTTTTCTGTTACACTGTGCACTTGCTTGTTCAATATATAGCTAATTCTAGCTGATCTTTTCTTACTTTCTTTTCTTTGATGCAGGAGAGAGAGGGAATTTAAAGTTGTTATTAAACTGGCTGCAAGAGCTGATTTGCACCATTTAGGATTGTTTTTACAGGGGAGGCAGGCAGATGCACCGCAAGAAGCTCTTCAGGTTTTGGACATTGTTCTGCGGGAATTGCCCACAACTCGGTAATCCATGGGTTTGGTGTCATTTCACTCAATTTATTATTGTTATTGTTGTTATTAGTGATACTATTGCAAATATTGTTATTTTAATCTTAGAATTTTTTGTTGTTTTGTTTTGCTGATTAGTTATTGTTATGGTATTTGTTGTAGCTATTGTCCTGTGGGGCGATCATTTTATTCCCCCGACTTGGGGAGAAGGCAGCCATTGGGTGAGGGTTTGGAGAGTTGGCGTGGATTTTATCAGAGCATTCGCCCAACTCAGATGGGGCTGTCATTGAATATTGGTACTTGTCTTTTAACATGATTTATGTACCCTTATCTGTATTTTCTTAGTTCTTTATTGTTATCAGTGCCTTTACAAGTTTGTTTTAGTTATATGTGCCTCCATTTACTACAGATTGTGTTCTTATGTAACTTAAAAATGGTTTAATGGTGTAGATATGTCCTCTACTGCTTTCATTGAGCCGTTGCCTGTTATAGACTTTGTAGCCCAGCTTCTATGCCGGGAAATTTCTTCTAGACCTTTGTCTGACGCTGATCGTGTAAAGGTTAGATTCTGTTCATTCTCTATCATGATTAAAGTATACTTGCACTTGTAAATGTATTATTCTATTCATTTCATCATGATAGGGGTTTGATTACATAATCTACTGCTCTTTCCTGATTCCTTTTGCTATTTGAGCTTGTCTGCGGATGATCAATCTGTTTCAGTTGTCTTTCTTCGTACCTGAAGTCACGTTTCATTTTAAATTTATGATCTATCAATTGCAATGACCAATAAGTCCTATGGAATTATAATAAGACAATGAAGTCCTCCTATAGTTAAAATATTTCCAATTAAGTTCACTAGTATATTAACAATTCAGTATTTTTTCCTTTCTTATTGAAGTACCTTTAATATCCCTTTCCTATTAAATTACTAATTGTACATTCAAATATGGAACTAGTACCAAAGTTTTTCAAAAAACAAATAGCAATCTACAGTTTTAATAGCCACCAAATTCAGCAATTATCTAAATTTTAACAAATTATTTATGTAACTATTTGTGGTGAAACTTATTGTTGCATGTTTGATAAGTTTCACGATTTGTGTGTGTGTCTGTCTGTGTAGCATACTCATGACAATCAATGAATTAGGTAAAGGGTTTTCATTTTTTTTTTCCCTCTACATATTTTTTGAAACAAGTAATATCAAGAAGTAAAGGGAAATTTATGTAAATTTGTGACTTTTTTTATATAAAAGAGTGTATCAAGAATCAAGATAGTATGAATTTTTCTTTAGGATTTATATATTTTAATGGTATTTCAATTGGGAAGGGCAATACAGAAAAATATTATAGGGGAACTTAGTTGAAAATATTTACTAAAGTGTGACTTTGCTCAGACATAATTTCATAGGATCGATTGCTCCTTGCAATTGGAAAGTAGGGACTAACTAGTAATTTTCACTAGAACTTTTTGTATGGAACGTTTCTTGTAGTTGTAGTTCATCATCAGTCAATTTATGTTGCGGTAAAAAGTAATCTGTCAACTATTGTTTTCCCCCTTGCCCTTTTATTCTGGCTTCCTGTTATGTTACTTCTGCTCATCTAAATGTATATTTAGATTTCCCATGTTTATTCTCTGTCTTTTAATTTATATATTACTCTTTATCAAATAATGTGCATCCTTCTTAACTTCCTATGTGTGTGTGATTCTAGGTCTCTATCATATTGTGAGTCAATTTTTGGTTTTCTTTTTAACTTAGTTGATCATATTTAGTTCTTTCTTCAAATAGAGCTGTATGGATCACATTTATGACAGCTCACATGAAGTTCGCATGTGGTAGATACGTGTTTTGTTGCTTATCTGGATCATTGAATTTACTTGCATCACAGATAAAAAAAGCTCTAAGAGGAGTTAAGGTTGAAGTTACTCACCGTGGAAATATGCGCAGAAAATATCGAATATCTGGTTTAACATCTCAAGCAACAAGAGAACTGACGTAAGGGACAATATCTAGTTTGTAATTTTCGATGAATTGTTCACTTTCCCTAGACTGTATAATTTGTGATTTATGTTACGATGATCTTTGCACATTTCTTAGCTGATGACATGTTTCATTTTTGGTATATATTAGTTTTCCGGTGGATGAAAGGGGTACAATGAAATCTGTTGTTGAGTACTTCCAAGAGACTTATGGTTTTGTCATTCAACATACTCAATGGCCCTGTTTACAAGTTGGAAATCAGCAGAGGCCGAATTATTTGCCTATGGAGGTCAATACTTAACTTTTCTATGTGGTCCCTAATATTGTGGTTGCGTAAGCTTATGTGTCATTCATCAATTTAGGTCTGCAAGATTGTTGAGGGTCAAAGGTATTCCAAAAGGTTGAATGAGAGACAGATCACTGCTTTGCTGAAGGTGACCTGTCAGCGTCCTCAAGAAAGAGAGTATGATATCCTTAAGGTTTGTTCATTGTGGCAAGGTCTTCTATTTTCATACTCCTCATTGTTCATTGTGGTAGGTTGTAGATATGTGCTTTCATTTTTGAAATAAAAATTGGCAATATTTTGGGTAAAAGTTGTGTCTTTTTGTTTCATTAGTCTGTTGTGATATTTGGAGAGTATTGACTGACTTCTTTAAGTTCATGAATACAAGCTGTTTCTGATAAATTTTGGTCATTGTGCTACGCGTCTTTAGTTTTTTTGATACCGTTATTTTCTAAAATATCTTGATAATCTAGACTTATCAAAAAAAAAAAAAAAAAAAATCTTGATGATCTAGTATAGTTTAAAGTTAGTCTAGTACAAAGTTGAACAAGATAAAAATCTGGATTTTGAGAGTTGGTTTTTGGTTTAAATCTAGATTTCATGTATTAAATGAAGAGATGCATTGTTTCAGAACGTTACTTAGGTTGTTTCTAATAACTATAAGATTCTTCTGTTTGTTGTGTGTGTGTGCTTGTTCAGCATACTGGATGTATGTTGTTCCTGGCAAAGGTACCTCTCTACATGCTAGGTCTCTTCTGGCATTTTGTAGGACTTTTCTCTGGTTTTAGTATCGTATATACTTTGTATATCTCCCCAAACCATCAGAATAAAAAATCATCCTGAATATGAGGTGATTTACTATTATGTCCACTACTTTAAATACCAATTGAAATGTCAAGGCCTAATTTAAGTTGAATTATGTCTGGATTACAAAATTGTCTAGATCCAACCTCAACTTTAAAAATTCATATTTCACAAACCATTATTTCAAGTTTCATGAAATTGACTTCTAAAAACTAGACACATCAAGAATGCATGGAAAAATAATCGAAGCAGTTTAAGAATCTCATTTTACAATTATTTAAGAATTTCCAAAATGTTGCAAGCTTGCTACAAGGTTATTGACAGAATTGATTTACAAACATTTGAATAACTGTGAATTATCTACTATAATTCTAGTGACAAGTACATTTCCAGAAAGAAGACTAACTAAACTTCTCAATTATATGTGGTACATGATTGTAGTCGATTGGCCTGCACTTGGTCTTCAAGCTCGTCTATATTTGGTCTTGTTAGAGAGTCCCAGTCGATCAACGCTAACTAAACTTCTCAATCATATGGTACATGATTGTTCTATTATGGCAGGTGTCTTAAATGATTTTCTGAAGTTGGTTCATTTGCATTCCAGTTTGGCTTGATGAACCCAAGACGGTTTTTTCTTTTCTTTTTTCTTATTTAATTTTCTGTGTAGTTACTAGTCTTTGTGACACCCAAAACTACATTTCTATGTTTGTACAACGTGTCTTCGCCAAATTTCTGACTTACAGAGGTTGTTTACTTGGGAGCCTAAATTTGTCTTTATCATTTATTCTATAGTTTTCACCCCTTAGCAACTCTATGCAAGTCTAATTTTATTTTTGCTGCAATCCAAGAGCTTTAAATTTCCAGAGAAGATTTCTATACATAAATTGGAAACCTAAGAATATATTGGAAAAGGAACAAATTTCAGCGCCTATTGTACTTCATTTCGAATTTGCAAATCCAAATATTGATTAAATAATTCAAATATTTCTAAAATAACTAGAATAAGTATCCAAACTAAAAAGAAATTGTTAATTATTTGGGTTCCTTGGGTCCATCTTTGGCTTCAGCATTGTACAGTGCCTTGGATGTGTTCCCCTTTTGAACGCTTTCTAATATAATATTATTTATAATAAAAATGTATCCATGCTAAATTTATTACATGGAAATTATATTCAATGAATTTATTTTTCAACATCTTATAAACTTTAACCACTAGTTGTCAGTGCAATCTGAAAGAATATTAGGGGGTGAACTTCACAATCCAGTGGAGTTTTCCCAGCCAAATTCACACAAGTTTTAATGAATGTTTCATCTTAAAATATATCTTTTTAAAAAAAAAAAAAAAAAAAAAAAACCTAAATTTAACAGTTTTACCTATTCCAAAATCATTTATTACAATCACATCAATTTCATGCATGTAACATGAAACCCTAATCCCTCCTAAGAACATCATGTAGTTATTGGTCATTCAGCACAACAAGGGTTTGACTGTTGAATGTTTTGCTAAAAGTTTTTGACTTTGTTATAACAGAATCCATTTTGTATTAATGTGCAACTAGGTTGGATTTTTGAATCCAATAATTTTTAAGTTCAAAGATGTTAAACTTTATGTAATATCATTCAAACCTTTCAAAGTTCATTTCATATTCCAAACTTAATTTTCCTAGAATTATCTTCACAAATGATATATAAAAATCTTTAAATTTATGCATCTGAAATTTAAAAGCCTTAAATAAAGAATAAATGTTGTAACCAACAGGCCAGTGGCCAAGTGGTACCAAGCCCCTACTTCTCAAAGGGAGGTCAGGGGTTCATGCCTCAGTGGAGGCATGGGTTTGTGAGTACCAACCAAGGAAAAAGGAATAAATGCTGTAAATGTTCATAAAATATAAATTTTTAGAAAAGCTAATAAATACGTTTTTAATTTAACTACTGACTTATTTTTTGCATAAATACCTGAAAATTTTACATGATATTTATTGTCAAAACATAAACTATGTTTGCATGAAGATGGAGGAAATGAAATCCTACATGATTTAGTAAGTGCAAAGATGTGTAAGAATATATTTTCTTTTAGTAGCCAAAACTCTAGGTTTCTTCTTTCTTCCTTGTGTATGTGTTTTTCTTTTCATTTCCCTTGCTTTCTTCCTTGGTCGAATGTGTTTTCACTTTCTGCTATCTTTTCGATTTCTTTTATTCTGTCTTGATTTCTCTCTCTATCTTTGTCATATCTATCATCTAATATATATGTACTCTCTCTCTCTCGTATCTCTAATCTAGTATATATGCATGTGTATATATATATATATATATATATTTTTTTTTTTTTTTCCTTTTTTCGATAAATGTTTGGTCCTACTACATGTTTAGTATTTGTTTAAGTCAAAATCTGAGCGAACCAACAACACACTATATTCTTTTTTGCTAATTTGGTTCTCTACTTCCGGAATTACTCCCGTAATAACCGTGTCAATAATTTGCTTCGAAGAGTTGTTATTTCATGCTGCTGCATGGGTTCAAACATTAAACAAGCAACAAAAAGATTATATATATATATATATATATATTGGTAGTAGGCTATGTCTAACCGTGTGTTAGAATTTCATCTTGAATAATATATATAGCTTTCCATTGTGTTTATCTTTACTCTACCTTTTCCTGTACATTTTGAACAATATACACACACACACACACACACACACACACACACACACTTGGTTAACGGACCCATGGAACATTACTGAAATTATTTTCTGAATAAATGGCTGTACTAATAAATTTCCCTGAACCAACGTAGTAGGTCTTCTAGAAGTCTTATTTAATACGTAGTATATATTCTTTGAAAGGTAGCTTTATTTATCTGAACGTTTTTACTCTTCCACAGACAGTTCATCACAATGCTTATGCTGAGGATCCTTACGCAAAAGAATTTGGAATAAAAATCAGTGAGAATTTGGCCTCAGTTGAAGCTAGAATTCTGCCTGCTCCTTGGGTAATTTATTTAACAGCATCTTTCATCATTACTGGATCTCAATTATGTGTTCATCTTTTGTTATTTTAAATTTGTTAGTTTCAAGTGACATATGGCTTGGACATTGCTTGTGCAGCTTAAATACCATGACACGGGTCGAGAGAAGAATTGTTTGCCTCAAGTGGGTCAATGGAATATGATGAATAAGGTAATCTTCCCGTTAGAAAAATAAGTTAGCATACTCTGGCATGTGAATGTATTCATAATTTAGAAAATTTCTCAGGATGTAAGTAGAATGGTTTAGCTACACTATTAACTTATAGTCAATCCATATTTGTTGGGCTGCCTGATAGTACGAATTCAAATATGAAAGCAGTTCTTTTGTGCAAAATAATACCGAAGTCGGGTCTTTCTTGAATCCATCTCTCCTAGCATGCATGAGGGAGACAAAAACAGATTATTGGTGTACAAATCAAACATGCTTTCTAGTTAGCATGTCAGATTTCAAAGTTCACATGGCCTAATATTTTTCGTTAAGAGGAGATATTAGAAAATCTTGTTAATTTCATACTGTGCTATTCATTACCCATGATAGTAAGGTATTGTGAGGGGATAAATTGGTACTTGAATATGATTCATTTTTATTTATTGAACTTGTATGTGCTTTCATTTTTGGACACTGCTTATATGAAGGTTTTTCTTTTTCTTCTTTTTTTATTTTTAATTTGGTTTTTCCATTGACAAGAGGTTTCTTGGTTAGCAACACTGCTGTGGGGATGTGGTAAGACTTAGATTCAGAAGCCAAGTTGTTTAATATATTCGTATTCTCGAAAATGCTTTCTAGAAATAGTTGGATTTATCATTTAGATAGTAACCATGAAGCGTTATATATTGGTTAGTTTTGCAGTAAGGACTTGTATTCTGAATAGTATGAGAGCAATGCGACTTCCGAATTTTTAGTAACTTGAGAATACGTGCATGGGGCATTGCACGTGCGGAATAGCTGCAGTGGGTGTCTATGGAGCATTATTAGAGGAAACTTCTTTTAGAAGGGTAATCGGGATAAATTTTACGAAGTTGGAACTATTGAAAAGAATGCTAAGTGTTGAAAGATATAAAAATTGAAGAGAAATTAAACATGAAAAGCACAAGGATGCCACTACAGCCTACATCCATGGCCAGTGTTGTTAAAGGCGCGCCTAGGCTCGAGGCTAGGGTTTAGCGCCTGTTGTCATCCTAGGCTCACTGATGTTTACTAGGCGCATACCTCGGTTGCACCTCGTCCTGTTTGTCAGGCGCTGATTTTTTAAAAAAACTATGATTATTCTATTTCTTGAGCCGAAAATGGTACTTTTGGCAACTTAATAAACAAATAAGAAAGCCCAAGCGTTCGAGAGAAGAAACTTTTATTCAAAAGAATAAACAAATAAGAAAGCCCAATAGTCAAAGCGTCAACCAAACAGAGAAAGAGTGAGACATAAGACGAACGACGAAGCCCTAGTTGCAGAGATGGATGACGAAGCCACGTCAATTCTTTCTTCTTCTTCTTCTCTCTCTTCTCCTCTCCTTCTCTCTCCTCTCTTCTCCTCTACTCCTCTCTTCTTATCTTTGTTTACATCTCTATCTTTGTCTAGTTCTCCTCTCTCTTAGTCTTTTTTTTTTTTTGGTTGTTGGATGCTTGTTTAGTTGATGTATTTACTTTTTTATATTTGATATTAATTTTTAGAATATTGATATGACTTGAGATATGAATGTTTATTTTAAATTTTCAATTGTGCGTCTCACTTCACTCAGGCGAGCGCCTCGCGCCTAGGCTCCAAAGGACCTCTAGCGCCTTGGGCCTTTAATAACACTGTTCATGGCACACAAAGCCCAAATGGCTACATCACTTTTATTATATTCTCTCTTAATATTGTTTACAATGAGCACCTTTACTTATAGGTGAAAGGAGAGTATTGATTTAGGGACCAAATTCAGCAGTTATCAAATTCAATTTATGTTGGAGGGGCAGTGGGTCCCATCACATGATGTTATGGTGACATCATATGATGGGGTCCACCACTCCACTCACATAAATTGAATTCTGTCGCTAAGTCGTTATTCGTGAAAGAATACAAGTGATAAATATGGAAAATACATTGATGGAGGATTCCTAAAATCAATCCCATAAATCACTCCAATTAATATTCCATCATAGGCTAAGATCACTCCTATGATATTCTCTCAACACTAAGAAAGGGTATAATGGTAATCAGATTAATTTTTTTGATACATGGGTGTGTGTGCTGCTCCCTTGTGTTAAGTTGTAAAGATGATGTTGGAGTTGTGGAACTTGGTGAAATTTAATAGCAGTGTTGAACATTTGTCTATCTGTAGGAAAATTGTATATGTGGCTGTGTATCTTGGCTAGAAGGCACTTTATCCTAATTTTTTGTTTACGGTCCTGGTTTTTCTTTGTTAAACTGTTGTCAAGGGATGCTTATCTAATATGTGTGTGTTCATGTTTATTATCAGTATACTTTGCAATGCCACTATTCATTGTCTGAGTTAATCCTTACATTTAGTTTAGTGGAGTGTGAAAAATGGGTTCTTTTTTTAGCTCCGAGATTAACTGTTATTTGTTAATTATATGAATGTTATAATTACTTGGAAATGATTGGGATTTTCCTGTTGCAGAAAATGGTTAATGGGGGAATAGTGAACCATTGGATATGTATTAATTTTTCACGCAATGTGCAAGACAGTGTGGCCCGTGGGTTTTGTTATGAGCTTGCTCAGATGTGTAACATTTCTGGCATGGTGGGTCCCATCTTACATTCTAAAACTTGCTATTCTTCAAATGGCTTTGAGTGCTCTTCTTGAATTTTGAATGTTTGTGTTTGTAGGCATTTAATCCTGAACCTGTTCTCCCAGCACTCAGCGCCCGTCCCGATCAGGTTGAAAGAGTCTTGAAGGCTCGGTTTCATGATGCCATGGCTAAACTACAGCCCATGTCCAAGGAGCTTGATTTGCTAATAGTTGTTCTGCCAGACAATAATGGCTCACTTTATGGTATGAAACTTAATTTGAATAAAATGCCACTTAGAGTTCTGCTCAATTCTTTTGGGCACATATTCTAGGTTCAGGTTTTCCTGTCATCAAGTTATATTTTGATTTCATTGCAGGTGATCTGAAACGTATTTGTGAGACGGATCTTGGAATTGTTTCCCAGTGCTGCTTGACAAAGCATGTTTTCAGGATGAGTAAGCAATATCTGGCAAATGTAGCTTTAAAGATTAATGTAAAGGTTGGAGGAAGGAATACAGTGCTTGTTGATGCGTTATCAAGGCGCATACCTCTTGTCAGTGATCGGCCAACTATCATTTTTGGCGCTGATGTTACCCATCCACATCCTGGAGAGGATTCAAGTCCATCTATTGCGGCGGTATTGTTCTCTCCCACATCAACTTTTATTTTTTTTCGAAGATTACAATAATATTTCTATTTTCTATTACTGAATGGTGTTTACTTGAATTTTAATTCAGGTAGTTGCTTCTCAAGATTGGCCAGAGGTTACAAAGTATGCTGGTTTGGTTTGCGCTCAAGCTCATCGACAGGAGCTAATCCAAGATCTATTTAAAACTTGGCAAGATCCTACTAGAGGAATTATGTCTGGTGGCATGATTAAGTATGATGATTAACCCTTTCTCTCTCTCTCTCTCTCTCTCTCTCTCTATATATATATATATATATATATATATATATATTCACTGTTGAATGAGTTTGTCAATGATGATTCTCGTTTGAAATCTTGAATGGGAAGTTATTGATAGTAGGATTGTCATGTTTATTTATTTAATTATTTTATATAATTCAGGGAACTACTCATTTCATTTCGTAGAGCGACAGGGCAGAAACCACAGCGCATCATATTTTACAGGCATCGACTTATTCTCCTGATGTTATCTTGTATGCAGTTTTGGACGTTGTGCTTGCTATACCTGATTATGTATACTCTACTCTTATCTGCAGGGATGGTGTCAGTGAAGGACAGTTCTACCAAGTTTTGCTTTATGAGCTTGATGCTATTCGTAAAGTAAAACCATTTTTCTTTTTCCTTCTCAGATTACACACTTTCAAGTCCCCTTTTTTATTTTTATTTAAATTTTTTTATTTTTTTATGTTTCTGTCTATGCATATTTACTTTTTTTAATAATAGGACAAATCTAATTTCTTTTGCCTTCTCCTTTCTATTTAAACTAATTTCAGGCTTGCGCATCTTTGGAACCCAATTATCAGCCCCCTGTTACATTTGTTGTGGTTCAGAAACGTCATCATACAAGGTTGTTTGCCAACAATTATTCTGACCGGAATTCTACTGACAGGAGTGGAAATATACTTCCTGGTAACTAATTTGGTTTGAAACTGCCTGCTTTAATTGCTTTTGTTTCTGAATATTCTGTCATTATGAGTCTCTTTTCGTATGAAATTTACAGGGACAGTTGTGGACTCCAAAATCTGCCATCCCACTGAATTTGACTTCTATCTGTGTAGTCATGCTGGCATTCAAGTAGAACTCAATTTCATCCCATATGTTTACTGGTTCATAAGTTAATCATGAGGATTTGGATTGTGATGCTCATTGAATTCCATCACATGTAACAGGGTACGAGTCGGCCAGCCCACTACCACGTGCTATGGGATGAGAACAAATTCACAGCTGATGGGCTGCAATCACTCACTAATAACCTTTGCTATACGTAAGTGCTTTGAATCATTACCTGATTTTAATGATGGAAAAAGAGTTGTGGTTCGTCTTTTTTGTTAGTTTTAATGGATGTTCGATTTGGACTTGGATCACATCCTATATACTTTAGTGGGTCAAAGGTTGCTCCTTTTCTCTACCATGTAAAAAATTTTAACTTGGTTTCATCTTATTTTTGCAGATACGCAAGGTGCACACGTTCTGTTTCAATTGGTTAGCCCTACACAGTACCCTTTGGCTTATTTATTTTGGTACTTATGGCTACGACTTTGTAGGATATGTATGTTAATCGGATCATTTTGATCCCTTGAATTTTTTTGTTTATTTTGGCAGTGCCTCCTGCATATTATGCTCATCTGGCAGCTTTTCGGGCCCGTTTTTATATGGAACCAGAGACGTCTGATAGTGGCTCAATGACTAGTGGTGCAGCTGCTGGTCGTGGAGGTATGGGTGGTGGTGCAGGTACACGGAGCACAAGGATCCCAGGTGCTAGTGCTGTAGTGAGACCCCTACCTGCCCTTAAAGAGAATGTGAAGAGGGTGATGTTCTACTGCTAGTTTTGTGGTGGAGAACAATTTTCATTGGGAAGGACCTACCCTACTACTTATTTATTGACTATGGTGTGTTATTGGTGTTTACTTTGAATGGGTTGGATTTGTTACTTGAATAATATTTACACATTTCAGATTGGTACCCATTGAATCTGTTAAGGTGACCGAGTTGTTACTTGTTGACATGTGGTTGTATAAGGTGAGTTTTTGGTGTAAAAAAGGTTTTCAAAGTGCAATGCTGTGTTTGTGATTTTGTTATAACCAACAATGGGTCAGGAGGAATCTATATATCTATCTTTATGACTCTTGAAAACGCCCTCACCCTCCTGTTAAAACTTTGCTTTCTTAGAATAGCAGCAGCCAGCTTTAAAGCCACATCATTTACTTTTGGCTAATTATTGGAACTCGGTGAGTTTGTCAACTAGAAGAAGTATTTGAAGGGGGGGGTATTGGTGGAAGGACACCAACTAGAATCATTAAATTGAAATTGAAATGTAGTAGGTAATATCATGGTTCGCAGTCGCAGTGTAATGGTTTGCAGTCGCGGTGTAACAGATTCAGGTGAATATTAGTGTAAATTGGTAGTGTAACAGATTCAGGTGAATATTAGTGTAAATTGGCTGAATCGGTCGATTCATGAAGGTGAGTAACGGTATTGAACTTTTAGAAAAAGGTTACAAACCGACTGTTAAGCGGTCCATTACTAGATGTTACGCGGCTCATGAATGATAAAAGGATTACGATGTTACCTTTTATCATTACGGCGTTACGCGAGTCATGAATGATAAAAGGATTACGAAGTTGATCCCTAATTTGTATATTGGGTTTAACTTTTGTTTTGATTTTACAGTCACGTGTGATCAATAAGGCTACTTGAATTTTTGGTCTAGATTAATTCGATTGATCATTTGTCAATCCATTTGTTGTATGGGTAGGTGTATATATATATGCTCTATCGGTTAGGTCACCAAGTCCATTGGTGCTTCTCAAGTGACCTAATCGAATAATTTTGATTGGTTGGTGAAGAATCACTCCCTTATTCTTTTGCATTAATAACTATTTAAAAGCGTTAATAAATAATGGAATTTTAAATACGTAAGACCCGAATTCAAAAAAAATACATGAAACAAGAATCATTTTCCCCTTCCCACCCCAGCCACCAAATCCAAAATATAACAAGAAAAGTAAAAAATTAGAAAAAAGAAATTGAAAAAAAATGCATTTTTTATAGACTGATCAAACCCAAATCTCTATTAGCCTCCTAATGACCTCAATTTGTGTAGGCTTGGGCGTCAACAATTCCATCCCCCCAATACTACTCAAAACAAAGCAATCAAACATTACGTACACACAAAAATTCCATCTCTCTCACCCTTACATACCAACCAGCTATATCAAGGAGCTCCATTCTCAGCTAAAGTGAATTACATGCTTATAGAGCCGTGAAACTAATCAGACTAAGTTGTTTTGCCATCGCCAGTGTATTCTTGTATACGACTGGAACCACTCTCCGGCCGCACAAGCCTCCTCTATTGCAAAACACTCCGTACGTTACGGTTTTGAGGGGAGAAGGGGTTTAATTGTCATTTTTCCTAATTTGGCTTGGAAAGTTGATTTAAGAAAACATTTATCCTGGATTAGATCGTTGTGTGGCCCAGGGGTGGGCAAATATATGAATTAATGTTGATGAATTGAAATTTTATCGATTGGGCTATAGTTAAAAAATTAAATAATATTGGACTATTTTAGGAAAATTCCTAATCGGCAAAACTGATCTGTTATCTCATGGATCAGTGACGGATTCGAATTTTTCTAATCTGTTGGGATCGGATCGAATAAGGATTGATGTTGGGATCGGATCGAATAAGAATTGATGCCTAATCCGATCCATGACCACCCCTAGTTGTGGGAAGTAAGGTCAACTGCAGAGTTGTTAGGCCAAAGGTGTGTGGTATATAAGCTATGCTGGAATGGTGGAAGACGTAGATAGTCCATTTTCACATGTTTGGCCCTTCAAAATCAGATTATAACTCGAGCCAACTTGCAAAGAGAATGAGAGCTACAAATCTGACGGGATTTCTGTAATCTTCTGAAATTGTAACATTGAAATTTGAAGCAAATGAATTCCTCGGATTTCAAATATGTTTCCTTGTGGTGTTTTTAATTGAGAGATACACAAAATGTATGATGCTTGGTGTCGTTAGAACAATTTTGGGACAGGAGTTGCAGGATTAAACACCTATTAGTTTAGGTTCGAGTCGAGGTTGTGACACAGCCCACAAGAAGCAAACACATTTGCATTATATGATTTATTTCTAAGAACATTACAAACACATGAAATTTTCAAGTGTACCACTTGTTTTTTAGGCTGTTCCTTTGTTAAAAGCTTGGTGTTTTTTATGCTTCCGCTTCTGTTCTCTTTGTTGTACATAGAAATAAATTGCAAATCTTTGGGGAAGCACTTGCTGGTAGTTTTTAGTCTCAGAACATCTTTCCGATGCCATCTTTACGTGGAACAGATTCGTCGATATCCATTCGACGCCAATTTCCCATCAAAGGAGCCAGCTGCTCAGTCTTGTCGAACAACCCTAGGAGTCCTCCTGTGTGTATAAATAGGATCTTCTTCCCTTCCCACTTCATTGGATTCTCAGCCATGTCTTTCATCATCGTGTAAGCAGCTTTTCCGCTACAAAGAATGCACAATTAACAAATTGTCAAACAATCTTCTCATCTTAACAAGTAAGCATGGTTTATTTTTATTTTTTAAAAAATCAATTAACTAACACCATTCGTCTACCACCTCCGAAAACCCAATCATACCACCAACACCAATTATAACAACTAAAGATAAGTTAAAACTTGAATTGCTTAAATATTTCAACTACTACACTGTTCATCAAGCACTATCGAAAACACATAGAAAACCACCAACGTTACCATCATCAACAACATGACCACTATCAGCGTGACCAACAAAAAAATAAATATGACAACAACAATAGACTCAACAGTAATAATAACGACAACAGCAAAATACAACAAAGGGATGGTGTAGGGTGCAGTAGACGATGTCAACATCTCTTTTTTTTTTTCACTAGTTGATGTCAACATCTCTTTCTTTGAAAAAAGAAAACAAAAGAAAAAACAATGTCATAACCTTTTACGTACTTCATACCCATGGCAAGCATCTTTGTTCTTGTATACTAGATATAAATGTAGAAGTGTAAATACTGTACATTGAAATGCTCCTCAAACAGTGAAAAATCGTTTCTCTCTAGGCTGCTCTATGTGATTTAGGGTTTCGTGTGCCTGGGGTTTGAAAAGGTGATTTGCACCACCATTTGATGGGGGAGGGTTCACCCTCCTCCACCCAGCCATCGGGGGACCTCCTCCTCCCATCCACAACCACCACCAAGAGTTATATGGAGCAATTTGTTTAAGGATGACTCACAAACATCCTTCTCAGATCTGCAGTTCATGCCGGAATGCAAGTCTGAAGATTTGGTTTCCATTCATGATGAAGATTTTGATGAGGAAATACAATACTAGTAGTTCAATAGTGGGTTATCTTATGGGCAAGCGCCCATTTAGGTCAATACCTTACCAGGGTTAGGAAACTCACTGATGATGATCTCAAACTGGTTATGTTTAAAGATGGTTTTTCCATCATTCGTTTTGCTTCAGAGGATGAGTTGGAAAAGATTTTGTCCAGGTGCATACCTGCAAGGGCAAGTCTATATCATCTTTCTTAAAGCATTGGAGCAAGAATGTGAATATGGTGAAGGATGCTTTAGGCTCGGTTCCAATATGGATTAGAATCCATGGATAGCCTATTCATTGTCGAAGCAAAGTGGTATTTCGAAGAATTGTTCAAAATTCTACAATCCTATCTTCAAGGATGAGGCTTCAATTGCAAGAGATTGTGGTGCCTTTTTGCGTGCAATGGTGGAAGTTGACATCCACGATGTGTTACCTGATAGCATTGAATTCCTTTTTTCATGGCAATCGTTGTAGGGCTGATATTGAATATGCATGGAAACCACAGCTTTGCCATCAATGTTATGGTATTGATCATTCGATCAAACCATGCCCCTCAAGAAAACTGCTTCAACTGATGATCGATGGACTGAGCAAATCTGGAGGGCTAAATAGAAGGGTAAGTATGTTCCTGTTAATGAGGAGTTTCCTCAACCTCCTCATGGGATTGAAAAGCCCTCATGTTCTGATCAATTACAGTCCAATGGAAAACAGCCTTCTCTATCAAACGAGAGTCCCTCTTTTGAAGCTACAAAAGTCAAAGGAGACTGAGCATGATGTCGGTGGCTCACCTCAGCCTCTAACCCATTCTCTCGTAAATTACCTTCTCCATACAGTGGTTCTTCCAAGTCAAAGGATAATAATGTTTTGGGTAATCCCCCAGCCATCAAGTCTCTCAAAATCCTTCTTGACTAGTCACAGTAAGGAGTCAGATCGGAGCTCTAAAGAGCCTTGAAAGTCATCTATCCCGATGAATGAGAAGCCTCAAGTGGCAAAAGGTATTGTAATCAATAATGCCTTTGCTATCATGCCTCATGCTGAAGACATTTTGGATCAGAGTATTGATTAGAAACAGAATAACTCTTCAAACAAAAAGAATAAAAATAAGAAGGTTATGGAAGTTTCTCAACGTTTTACAAGAGGCGTGTTGACCAAAGGTGCCCAAACAACCAATCCTAATCTTGTTTAATTATCGGTTGTTGGAATGTTAGGGGCTTAAATCGCCCCGGGATGCAGAATGTTGTTAGAAATTGGATTATTAATTCTACTATTCATTTTGTTTGTTTAATGGTACTCGAGTGAATGAAGCTAACTCCAATTCTATTACTAATAAAATCCAGGGTAATTGGTTTTGGGTCAATAATTATCAATCTCACCCTTAGGGCCATGGATGGCCTTAGGTGACTGGAACTCAGTTCGATTCTATGGAGACTAAATTGGTGGTAAAAGGATCCCTCAGGAGATTGTAGATGAGTTCAATGATTTCATGAATTTTTCTGGTTTGGTGGAAATTCCTATGGTGAATGGGACCTGGACTTGGACAAATAAGCATGATATCTCTTCTAGGATCTTTGCAAAGTTGGAAATCGGAGTAGCTAATGGTGACTGGTTTTCTCATATGTCAAATTCCAAAGCTACTCTCTGCCCTGTAAGTTTGTCATATCATTGTAGGTCTCATTGTTTTACCTGATGCTAACATTGCTTCTAATCCAAAGCCTTTCAGGTTCCTTGAGATATGGAGTGATCCAGAAGCATTTGAAGATGTAACTGCTAAAGCTCGGTCTGTTCAGTCGACTGGGGTTCCTATTCAAGTGGTCTTACAGAAGTTAAAATCTATTAAGAATGAAGTAAAGGAGTGGCTAAAAGGAAGTTTGGCTTCCATTGAAACTCAGGTTATCTCTGCTAGACCTATTATAGAGGGTATTCAACTTCAACTTTTGCAGAATCCTCTTGACCATGATTGTATAGAGAAGGAAAATATTACCATTTCAAACACAGAGTCGGCTCTAGAAAATGAGGAAACCTTGATGCATCAGAAGTCCAGAAAAAGATGAATTAGGCACAATGATAATTGTTCTAAATTATTCTACAGGAAAGTGGCCTCACATAGGTCTTTTAATTCAATTTTGGGTCTTCAAGATGAGGCTATGGTAATTTGGTGGACTCTACAAAAAAAAAAAAAATAAAAATAAAAATAAAAATCGAAGAAATGTTTTAGAATCAAAAGGATTGAGAATTAGTCGAACTAAAACAGAGTATATTGAGTGAAAATTTAATAAAGACTAGATTCATGATAATATAATGACAACACTCTAAAATCAAAAGATTACTCAAAACAACCACTTTCGTTACTTGGGATCAATAATATAAAAGGATGGAGAGATGGATAGTAATACAACTAGTAGATTTGGATCCGGATGGACAAAATGGAGACAAGCTAGTGGCATCTCATGTGATAAAAGAATAACGCATAGGCTAAAAAAGAAATTTTTATTGGACAGTTAAAAGACCAACCATGCTATATGGAGTGGAGTGTTGAGCTTTAAATAAGAAACAAGAACACCACATTTATGTTGTGAAAATGAGAATGCTAAGATAGATGGTTGGAGTGACTAGAAGAGATAAGGTCACTAATGAAAGTGTAAGAGAAAAATTAGGAGTGACACCTATCAACGAGAAAATAAAAGAGTAGACTGAGATGCTTTGGATACATACAACGGAGACCTTTAAATGTGCCAGTAAGAAGAGAAAAATTAGTTTCCACAGAAGGTAAAAGGTGGAGAGGGCAACCAAAAATTACTTGGGATGAAGTTATTAGAAACGACTTTAAAAAGTTAAACATATTAGGTGAAATGATGTGTAATAGAAAAGAATCGAGAAAAAATAATTCATGTGGACGACCCCATTCATATGGGAATAAGGCAAGGATGACAACGATGAAGATGAGACTGGGATTTAGACTAATGATCGAACAGAGAATTCACTCCACCCTAGCGGATTTTTACAAAGATCTTTTCTGTTGTCCAGAAACTCATGGTATGCATCCTCAGTGAACAAGACTTGCTTCCCTCTAGGAAGACACTTTCTGTTGAAGACTCTCAGTTCCTGTAAGCTCCTTTCTCTAAGGAAGAGATTAAAATTGTTGTCATGAGCTGGTACCTGATGGTTTTCCAGCTCGATTTAGCCAGTAATACTGGAGAATTCTTGGTGGTGACTTGACTAAGGCAATGCAGATGGTTTCTTCCTTTCTTCTAAATTGTGACAAGGGGTTTCAACCATCTTTGTGACCTTCTTGATTCCTAAGAAGGATAGGAGTTCCACAACAGCAGATTTTCGTCCAATATCTCTTCTCAATGTCTTTCACAAGATAATTGCAATGAAGGAAACTTGTGTCAAGCAGAAGACCATTTCTACTACAGATATTTGACTCAAATTGAATTCAAATGGAAAGAGAATCAAGGAAAGAGAGATAAATGTGCATAGAATTAGGACTGATTAGTTGAGGTAGAGTTCTATAAATAGGAGACTCATGGAAACATACCAAACCCTCCTGCAGCACAACACAAAGTTGTCCGAGAGTGCTTTGGAAATTGGACCTAAACAATGGGTACTGCTAGGCTGAATTTCATCCTTTTCAGGGAGAGTCGGGGGGAGAATCTGCCAAGTCAGGACGGAAAGAGTGGTTAGGTGCCGCCCCCGGTTGTTTTATCCTTTCCATTCACTTGGATCTATTCTGTTTCATCGATTTTGTCCAGATCCTCCTTTTCTTCCAAAGAAAGGAAAGGAGAAGGATCTTCTTCTTGGATTCCTCTTGTTCCTGTTTAGTCTCCTTTGTTTCGGAAGCTGTTAATCAACCTCTATGAATTCACATGTAATCTGAAAATTATTAATACTAACAATTCACATGTTTAGATCTTCCAAATAAAGAAGAGCAAGACCACTTGTGATACCTCTAGGCGGCAAACTCAAGACTGTAATAAGCACGCACTTGTACAATTTGAGTTTGTTCACCAACAAGTGGCGCTTGATCATGAGGAGTTCCAACTCCTTCTCCATCAGTTGGGTTCTTTGGCATTGATATAATAGGAATGACTGCAAAATCTGGGGCTACACTAGTGATGGTCATTTCTCGATTAAATCAGCTTATAG